GGGCAGTGCCGGGTGAGGGCCGGGCACTAGGGGTCTGGGGTCTGCGTTGGTGCTGGCACAAGTTCATCGTCGTGCAGCTACGGCGGAGTCGGGTTGTGGTTTCGGGGCTGCGAGGCCGGCTGCGCTGCTGAGGGGCGCTGAGCGCTGCGGGCTTCAAGGGTGGTCAGAGTGGGACCTGCAGTTTCAACCTGTGTCGCGCTACTACCTGCCTGCCTGCCAGCCGCCTGTGGGGAGCTTGCCTGCGTGCATGCATGCCTCAGTCCGTCATGCCACCGCCACGCAGGGCTGTGGCACGTTGCGGACACCAGTTCCGAAGCTGAGAGCAAACCAGCCTTTCACGCCTCGGGAGCTCACAGTACGCCTCCCAAGTCTCAGAGCAAATCACAAACTGTGTTTCCGCAAGGCTAATATACACCCATGTACAGACAAGGATGATTGCACCTAGTGATCAGCCTCTCCTACTGATATCTGTCATCGTTATGGTACCTACGGCAGGGACATGGGCAAAACAGAGAGGCACCAACAGCCTGTAATGGCCACCAAGCATCCAAAGATCCAGCCCCACACAGCTAATACTGCATATAGTACATCGACCTCGAGAGAGGAAATCTTTGCAAAGCCTAAGGGGGACGGAATATTTATGAGGGCTCAGCACACAGACACGTGCTGCGTTGTTAAACCAACTGAGGCCCCACTGCCTAAGCAGTAAAGAAAGCTGGGCGCTTGTTTGAACATCTGGCCCTTGTTTTAACTTATGAAAGGGAGCTGAGATTCCAGATACCCTGTCCAAAATGTTATTGCCCTAATCTGGCAAAACAGATTCACCAGGGCTTGAACCCGAAGGCCGATGTCCTGCTTTCATGGTGGAAGCATCTCCATTGCCCTTTAGGATAGTTGCTGAGCATATGCAATTATTCCCATATTAGCCCTTCCTGCTCAGCTGAACTGCTTCACTCACGCCCGATGGTCCATAAGCCGTAATGCTGCATCTGCTTGAGAGCAGAAGTGTTCATAAAGGCACAGACACACAACCTCTTCTGTACATGACTATTCCAACTGAAGATGTTACCAACTCCTGCTGGAAATAACCAAACCCAGCAGACTAGGAGGTGCAGAGGATTTGTCTGAGCGCTCATTACCCTCTTCGGTCCTAAATCAGTGAGCTTAGTTTATAGCACTGGCGAAGGTGGTTTGAGCTAAGCTGGCTGAGTTTGCTCTCAGATGGATAAGGAATGTTCACCCTGTCCCTTCTGCAAGTTGTGAGGACAGCAACGCCCAGCAGAAGGACACTAAGAAGGAGCTGAGAGGTAGCTTCAACCACTGCAACTGCTTCAGAGGTCCCCTGACTGAGAGACTGTTCATCACTTTAAATAGAGGACCCTACTATACATAAGGAATGAAGTCCGGGGCACCGGGAATCGCTAGACTGGTTAACATGTATGTGGCACAACAGCATTCACCAGTGGAACGTTACAATAGGGTATGAAGTTGCTCAGAGTCTTGCAAGTAGAGATGGCCCAAATCTTCATATTTTTGTTCAGTTCTTACACAGTCCATAGGTCAGGTAAAATTTCATGTGATTTAAATACAATTAAGCTTAATAAATCCACACCAGAGTTCCAGTATTTGTTGGAAGAAATAAAATACTATTACAAATAATGGCTTTACAATGGAAGCCCTAGCAATAGGTATGTTTTAAACCATTTTAGAGTACAAGTGAATTATTCTTTTTTTTTTCTCTTCCATTTCTTATCATTCCAGAAATAATTCTTTTCAAGTAGAGCTAATCTTCAAGGTAGCTGTACCCTGAGGTTGTCAGAGGAGAGAAATAGGAAGAGAAAGCACTAAGTTGAGCAGTAGTGCAAATCAGCACACTGGGATTCAGAGCAAATTATCCTTGGGCCTTTACAGGTCAAACACCCACTGTAACTTCCCATTTTCTCACTAATTCATTTTTTCCAATGGATTAAAAAAGCTCTCATACTATTGTGTTCCATATGTTCTTTATTATAAGTGAATTAACGAGAAAGGAAATGACAATAAAATCATGTGTTCTTTCAGTCAGTAACTAAGTTACTCATTGCAAACACAGTCAGTTTGGAACAGCCCTTGATATTATTACAAGGAATTTATTTATTTATCCAACTTATCTACATCAGGATGCTTGAGGCACTTATCGAGACCAAAGAGCACAGTAGTACTTCTGAATCACCACATTAAGTGTAAGTTATGTTAACCAGAAAGCTTATTCTTTATGTTTACAGGAAAACATCTGTGAACATCAGCACAAGAAGTATGAGCAAAGCAAAAGAGGAAATCTGATATTTGCACTCTTGCACAAGTGGACACCTATTCCTTCCAACGGACTTGGTCCTCAGTGCTGTCCACAATAACCTTAAAAGGCCCATGGGACTGCACAGGACTTTCAGCAGCTGCAGAATGGCAGTGGAAGGCTCAAGGCAAGATAATGCAACCTTGAAAATGATTTAGAGGCCAATACTGTGCCCTTGGTATGTATGAACACAGCCTACTCGCTCTGTACAACTCTCGCAGAGCTAATGGCAAATGTTTTCGTTTGGAATGGATCCTGACTTCTCTCAAACCAAGTAGGAGATTTCTTTGTCCAGAAAACATCTCCATAAACATGGCCAGCCTTCAAGGGAGCCTTTAGATATGCTATACCCATTCACTTTCAGGATATATGTGACTATATTAGAGACAGAGTATTTTCTAACACACGTGCTAGGCAGATTATGAAATAGCATGAAATATTCTGCATTGGTACAGGATTATTAGAGGGGTCTGATTTTTCTCTTTTACTTTTTTTTTAAGCTATTTGGATGAAGTGGTTGCTAAGTTGCTATGACTGTTTGTCCCTGAAGAATTCACAGCTTATAGTGAACAAAGATGTAGGGTTTTTATATGAAATTAAATTTAAATTAAAATGTAATTCTCTCTTCTTGATAATCCAGAGAAATGAGATGCCATATTGCTGCCTCGGTAAAATTATTTGTTGTTTTTATCTGTGGGTTGACAAAAAGCTTAAACAGACACAGCGCTTGGTTAAACTCACAAATGTTTACAAGGAAAAAAAGAAAAGAGAATACCATAGCCAGCTTTCTTATAGCTAACACAAAGCAAACATGTTTTTGTAATTTTAGAACAGGATGCAAACAAAAGAAATATTCAAAGTACAATAAAAAGACAAGCTTCCCTGTCATGCAAGAAAAAAGCCAATACAGTTCATGCATTGTTCTTCATTTTCCCTGACACTCTTATGCAAATGTGTTGTGTGCCATGGTGCCAGTGTGGAGTGAGATGGGGCTATGCATACCCTGCAAATATCAGAACTCCCCAGCAGCCAAGGGGTGGGTTCCAGCACCTGCACGGTCTGCAGGCCACTAGCACTTGGAGCAGGCTGGTGAAGTCAGGGCTTGAAAATGCCTCAGTGTCTCATACACACTGTAGAAAGGAGTGTCTATAGCCAGAAGGAAGTACAAATGTGCAGCCACTAGACTGGCACAGGAATCTCGAACATCCACAGGTACTTCTGCCTGCTGTTTGGGATTCACTGCTGGCTGATACATCATAGTAACAGCCATACCTTAGAAGTCCCCAAGAAAGCCTCCTCTCCCCTTTCTTCCCTGAAATTAAGTCCTCTGGAAGAATAATTAGGTCATGGTAAATAGTGGTTTCAGTGTCCAGAGCACAGGCAAGGCTATCTTACAGTCTGTTGTAACAGGAGTATGAAGCTGAACCCCTAGTTAACCTCTTCTGCTTCTCAGTAGTGTTGCTTCAGGGTTGAATGCCCAACGCTGCAATCCAGTCTGACAAAACTCAGTTAAGCAAGTTACCTTAAAACAGCACTAGAATTATCAGCACTCTCAGTGTTTCACTCAAAATTGTGCTTTTTAGTATTCTCAGAGACATACCCCTGCTTCACAGCTCAAAATACCGTGACTATCAGTTCATCCGGCATTCAGGAGTTGGCAGGGACCATGTGAGCAGGTCGAAGCCAGTAGGGCTGTGTTGGTGTCTTGGAATACCATGATGAACCTGAGCTGTTTTCCTTGTGAATCACATGTAACACCCAGCTTGTAGGTTGAAGGTGCCAATGAAGGAAGCTTGCAGGAGCGCTGGAAAGCACAAGTAACAGGGAACTGTGAAGTTACCACAAAGGACTGCCTATATCACTCTAGTGCCACAGCTATGCTCCAAATAAGTGGATAGCTGCTGAGGCAAATATGTGCTTTGAAGTTATACAGTGCTCACAAAGCTCGTGCTAGAGTTATGCTGGAAAATATGGAAGGACTTTCAGAACAGGTATGATATAGGCCTGAACCTACAGTCATCTCCCTGTGCCAGCATCTCCTGGTGGTACAGCTGGTTAGTCCACAATGAGTTAGGAAAGAAGGTTATAGATTTACTAGGCATCCCAGTATTATGTTTTCTTA